AAAAATATAAATATAATATAAGTATAAATACGAAATGCTAAGATCACTGTAGTATTCTGCAAAAGCAAGGCTTTTACATGGAAAGATGTTTTAGTAACTTCATGTTGGCAGTAAATTACCTTAGGTTCCGGTGGAAAAAGTGCTTGTGTTAAACGATAAAGGTTCCCCAAGCTGAGCTGAATGCTGGTGTTGGTCACATTCATTTCATGAAAGTTGGCAGAATACCCCTTTGGACAGATATCACACTCCCCAGCGAAAGGCGAAACTGTGATGGTATTCTTAGATTCATAGTGAGGTAAGTTGTCACTGATTCCTCCATCCACATAGCGCTACAAAAATTAACAGAAATAAGAAGTCTCAAAGGCTGAAAATTTCTACTAGCACATTTCCCATGCAAGAATTAAATAGCATTTAAGACTATAATAGAACAGCCTCTGCCTATGCCCCCACGCTAAACACTTAGAGTAGCACGCTTTGTCCTCTAATGCCAGACAGAAAACACCCCTACCTATAGTTCCACAGGTAGCCTAAGAGTATTATTTGGGATTTTTCTGTATGTTTAAGAAAGAGCAAGTACATTTTAAAGATCATAATCCTACACAACATGCAGAGAAAAAGTAGTGCAGCTGTCTCCTCTTCCTCAAAGGAGAGCACCAACCAAAGAGCTACCAGAGTACTTCTCTAGAAAGATTACAAGTAAAGGAAAACTGCACTTCAAAGCTCAACTTCTGTGATACTCTTATTCTAATTGAATGGTTTAGTAACTTAAAATTACTCTTAGTAATTAGAAGTTTATATAAAAGCACCAAAAATATTTGGACGTAAAGAAACTGCAAGTAGAAATGGACAATGCTTCAGAAACCATTTTGCATACAAGTTTAGAAGCTGTTCCAGGTTATGCTTTTGTCTCCTTCTCGTTGAATTGCCCATTTCTGTAGTTTTAGCGCATCACCATCTCAGACATTTTAAGACCCAAGAACTGAAGAGTTCTGTATTGGGGTAACTAATATATAGTGCAGGAGCCGCTACGGCTAAAACAGAACTCCTTCACTCACTCAAAACCACCATCTTTCCACTGGGGCCAATCGTAGCTAGTTTGTTCTGATAGTGGCAAAACACCACCAGCTTTGCTGGTTTAGTGGCTTCTTCCTAACTAGGCAACAGACATTACCTGTAGGTCCTTGTAAAATGTAAATGTGACAGAGCAGGGGATTTGACAGGAGCAACCTGGATTATCAATTTCATCTGCCTTGATACTCACTCCCTGACCATTCTGAGAAACAAATTAGGAATTAAGAGGACAGATCAGAGCAATTTATCTAACACACTCTTCTAGAGCAGCCTGTTCTCACCCATCAGCTTTCTTTGACACTCTTTAGACCCAGCATCATGCAGCTACTGACAAAATGCCTATAGGTGTATAATGTAATCACTAAAGTACACGTGCAATCCCCAAGTCCTTTGTGGAAGTATCAAATACAACACAACAGGTTTGGCAAAGGAGGAGTCCTACCATGCAGCCTTCTCATGAAATTATTAAAAGGTGGAAGTACACATCTGAGTCACTGTTCTACAGACGTAAATGGTTTTAATTATCTGGAGTTTCTGCCTATCTGTTCCCCCTAGTAATTTTTTAATCTAAAACCACTGCTGTGTTTGAAAGGGGTAAAAAAACCCAAACAAAACCCACCACACCCAAAAGCTTCACAACTGGTAGGTAGCTATACCTATTAAAAGTTATCCTTAAGTCTTTGTTTAAAATATATATGCACAAAGCACCAAGCCAGTAAACAGCAAGGTGCTGCAAAGTTTACATACTTGACATTCTACTGTGTTTAAGCCCTCCAGGAATCACGCCAAGCATATGCAACTGTGGTATTCTTACCAAGTTACCATAAAAAAAATGCCTCCTAAACATTAAAATCATATCAAAATAATTGCAAAGATCAAAAGGATACAATGATTCTTTCCTTCCCTCAAAACAGGACCAAATAAAGCATCACTTACATGTTTTTGTACTCTGAACTATGCCTTTTATAATAACGTTGTCTGGTGACAAGAACTGAATAGCCAGATTAGCCTGGATCCACCTAAACCTTGGATTCAGTCCAACGTCCTGTTTTCATAACACCTTTAATCTCAAACAGTTTAAGGAGACATACAAGGTTTCGAAGTACAGATAAAGAAAAATCCCTATACAGTTCTAATCACTTTTGCTTAAATTCCAGCACAAAGAAGAAAATACATTTCATGCGTATCCCTGGCCTTTTAGCACTTCCAGATTACCTTCAGAACAGTGTGTCATGAAGCACTGTCAAAGATGTTGAGTTTTCTTTCAATATTCTTCCCCTCTCCTTGCGTAAGGAGTACCAAAGTTGGCAGGAAAGCAAATGCAAGTTAATACAACACTAACAAAAAGCTATGAATGTCACTGCCTTGATTTGAAATGCAAGTTTGCTTCCAGAACTGTTGTCAAAACACCTACAACAAGCTATACAAACTTTTCTGCAGCTGTTGCCCTTTTAATGCAGGATTTTAGAAAACTCAGTATAGCCATGAAGTATTAAGAGGTTTTGTAACCAACAGTTCCTGTGAAGTAATAGAACAGACTAATATACTGACACTTTACCTTTAAAAAGTAACCTTTCTTACACTGAATACAAGTGACAGAAGACATTAAAAAGCTTTGTTTACATCTAGGTCAACACAGAACTTGAATCCAGTTTTAAGGCAGATCTACCTACAGCAAGAACACAAAGATATACAATAAGCTATCTTACAAGATTATTCTTTTAAAACAAACAAGTGACCCCTCCTATAAATTTGTGCAGGTGAATGAGCATCACTTTCTTCAATATATACTTATCCTTAAGTTGAATACTTGCTAGCTTAGAATACCCTTTTTTAATTACTGCATCAGCAAGCAAGAAACTTGAACGAGAGACTGCATGTGTGTGTTTTGCAGGGTGGAGCAGAAACATACATAACACATCTTCCACACATTTAGTGTTTCCTTCCTTTTTTGAAAAGCTGTAACATACAGCTACAGTATTAGAAGTTCTGATGAAGGTATTTATTTTACAGCAGGATAACAAAAAAAACCCCATACACATTGTATCTTAATATTTTCAGAATAGCTAGAACTATTTTTAGATCTTAACAATAGAGACTTACCACACCTCTAAAGGACGGTGGGATTAGGCCACAATAAATAGGGACAAATGAACTACAGATTAAAGCCTGTAGGAAAATGAGACCATATAAATTAAATGGTAACTGTTCCATTATTGACATTATTTTAAACAGGGTGAGAGTATTCCCCATTTCTTTTTTTCAATGTAACCACACTCCATCTAAAAAACTGCTAAGACTCACTAACAGACCATTTCTAGAAATACTAATTAGCAAGGAAAAGTTTATGATTGTTCACTCAAGCTACACATTTTCTGACTAACGAAAGCAACTGAGGACACAAATGTCAACCTTCTGGGATCCTATTAAACTAGCTTTGTAACGGACATTAAAAAATTTAAAAAGTTATTTTTGACTGTTTCTTCATCATTGCTTTCATAAGAACAGCCTTAAAAAATTCTTATTCATGAAGGATATAGTTTCATTAGATTACACTGCACTTTAAAAGGCATTTATCCTTTTCAAGATTGATCCCTTGCACCTAGTCACTAACAAAGTTCCCAGATACACTGACTGGGAAAACTAGTAACTTAATTTAGTGTAATGAAGCTTGACAGTATTTTAAAGATTAATTCAAAGTCACAATATCCTAAAAGTTTAAAATGGCAATCCAATGGATGACATTAAATGGACTTAAGATTACAGAAACTTTTAAAAGTTGCCAAAAATAAACATACCTGGACAACTTCTTCTTTAGAGTTAAAATTAGATATCAATGCATTTTTACCATCTGATACTCTGGTTAGTGAAATAAACAGTCTGCCTGATGACAACTGGTGAGTGTTTTCTGGAAGATTTCTCATCAGTCCATCTCTTATTATCTTTATCACATTAAAGGAAGGATGAAGAGGGCCAAGATTTCGCTTTCTCGCTTCTTTGGCTAACGCCAGAACATCTGCACAAGCTTGAGCTGAAAATAAAATGTATTTAATTTAAGAACAGAAGATATGTCAAAAACAAAAAAAAACCCCCACATTTCCAGTAATAAAGCATGTCTAGAGCTCCAACTTTTCTCTCTGATTGCTAGCAGGAAAATTCATGAGCTTTTTAACAGATAAAATAACTGTCCACTGGTGAAGACCCAGCCACTAAGTTACTTATATGCTATTTATATGTAGACTGTAGGTATAGAATACTGATGTAAGATGCTTCCATTAGGAATTACTCATTTCAGAAACACATTATTTGAGAAAAAACAAATATGAGTGACCTTCTGTAAGCATGTAATGCATGTTCATATTCCACATGCAACATCCATAAAAACTTACAGTGTATGATGCACAGATTTAAGGTCCACAGTATGTCTGCTGAAGAAGTAGAGCACCTGGGTTCATCACAGCTGGTAACACTTGTCGGACTTTAACCAAACTTAAGGTTTCAGCACAACATTTATCTTTATTTATATATAAACACAATAAAGAGAACATCAAATGTGAACTTACGGTAAGGAATGTCAGGAGGGAAGTTGTGGGTAAGGAATGTGGAGGTGATCTCCAACACCTCTCACACAGGTCTCCAACTAAATAGGTGTATTTTTACCAATATGTAACAGACACATAATAATTTTTTTCTCCAATTAAATCAGCATTTGTGAACTAGATCAAACCACTGTAGAAGACACAATTGTTCTGGAAGAACACTAACATCATTTTAACCACCACACACCTAGTCATAGTGAGAACCACAGCTCATCCACTTCCAATGTTTTGTTTGAATTTTTAATGTCATGTTTCTCCAGGGCACACTTTGAGGAAATTCCCTGATAAGCCTGTCAACTTGGTAGAGGAAAGGGGGTGGGGAGGAAGGTCAAAGTAACAGGTTATTAACCTAAGTGATATGCTACAAGGTCATCCAAAAATATTTGTAGAACTTGCATATTTTAACTTACATAGATTCTTTCTAGAATAGATAGGATTCAACTTATCAAGCTGAATGCCAAAACTGCACTGGAAACATGTCTGCTTAAACCTTTGAGTTCAGATTAATTTCAAAAAATATAATCTTTCTACAATGTTATTTTTTCCCCCTCAAACCTTTCTCATTCTTAACACAGTAAACCAAGAGTCTATGTTCAAAAAGAGTATCTCTAAAAAAAAAATCTGAGGTATCGGACATAATCCATTTTTACCACTACCATTTTTTTCAGTCCACCCCTGCAGAGTGAAGCCTTGGGCCATGAAACCACTGATACCAGTAGCCTGACCCCACTTCTCACACCAGAAGACAGCAAACAATTTAGACACAGCTCGCTGTTCATGGTCAAATATATGCTTATGTTAGTAAAACACATTTTACATGCAATTAAAAAAATGGCACAAGCCACGTTCTGGCAAGTGAAGAAGTTATTTCCAAAAACAGTTACGTAGACAGTTTTAGCAGTTCTGGTTTCCATGAACTCAGATATAAAGCACCACCTCCCCCCCTTTTTTTTTAAATAAACTAATTTAGCAGTATTCAATCTTCTAAGCTTTCTAAAGAGAGAAAGCAGGCATGTTGCAGGCGTGTGAGATACTGAACCACCCAAACTCTGTCCAGGAACAGCAGTCTTAGCGCATGCATTGATTTCCTCTTGCAAAGTAAGTACATTTTTGAAAACTTATCCACCGAACAAGTAAATTGCTTGTTCTAAAAAACAGACCAAGAGCACTGGGTGCATGGACACATGAGCAAACAAATACACGTGCTCTCACTTCTCTGACAAATCTTGGCCCTGTTTGTCTAGCCAGCATCCTGTCAAATTGAAACTCAAGCTATTACTTCAGTTTGAAGCACAGTAACATCTTCACTCATTTGTACTACAAGCCTGTTTCCGCAAAAAAAAAATAAAATAAAGTAAACCAATGCCCTCTACTAGCATTGTTATTATTTACCTCTCACTGTAAAAAATACCAGGCAAGTATCAGCTCTCTTTACTTGCCCTGCTGAAGGGCTGCAAAACTGATGACCTCTAACAATTCAGAATTGAACTCCTCTCATTTCAACTTCCTTTCAGAAAATAATTACCTATCAAAATGAAATTTGATTTCACAGTTTACCCATCTCTTCCACATACAAGAATTTCTACATTTCAGGTAGTCTTCGGGGAAAAAAAATAAGAAAAAGATCAAGTTTACATATTTTGTTTATTATAACATATTTTAAACATGAGAAGGGCTCCTAAGCAAAAAAAAAGTTGTATCGATTGAAGTATGTGCTATTAAAACACTGAAAATCTAAAAAGCTTCAATAGACTTCAACGTATTCCAGCTTCTTTTCCTTCTCCCTTCCTTCCTCAATAGGACTAAAAACCAAGTACCTCTTAGGGTGGTGTATTCCAAAATGGGATCTTCTCAGACAGGGACAGACAGCTAGAGCTCAAGTCAGACTGGGATTTTAGACAGACCTTGATACATCTGTTTTATTTTTTTAAACACAAAAGAGCTAAAGAAATTAAAGTTCCTATTAAGTGTGAACTGTTTCTAGTTATATTTCTATATTCCTATTTTAATTGTTAAATAACTACAATGTTTAAATAACTATTAATTCATTTCCCCCTGAGTGAAACCTGACATTGTATCTACAGCCCCCACCCAACCTGTTCCCTTTAGTGCCCCACTAGAATGGATGCCCACTTGGCCACTGAAATACCAGATCTCCAAGACATCCACAGGGAAGATCTAACAACAGGGGTGCGCCTTAACAGTTCCAGTTTGGAGCAGCCTGGAATGCCCTTCATCCTCAAAAGAACAGCCACCTCTAAGCTTCTCCCTCTACCTTGCCCCAAACTCAGTCTCGAAAAGTACGCTTTTTTCCCCATTCAATGGCTGATGTTTACATTTATTCAAACTTGAAATTCTACAGACCCTCGGTTTGCCTATCCAACAGGTAACATGAAACACATAGAAAACCCTTTGTTTAAAATATCCAGCTACAAACCTCTAGGAGATGAAATACGCACATCGGTTTTAGTCAAAATCCCTGCTTATATATATATATACATACACATTCAAGAGTTTTTTGTCCACTGACAAGTGTACTAATTCAGGGCTGGATCCAGTCAAGTCTTGAAGACCTCCAAGGATGGAGATCCCACAAACTCTCTGGGCACCTGTTCCAGCATTTTACCACTCCCATGGTAATTTTCTCTTCCTTATCTCTAATCAGAATTCGCCATGTTCCAGCTCGTGTCTGCTGCCTCTCATCCTTCCACTACCCATCTCTGAGAAGAACAGAATCATAGAACAGTTTGAGTTGGAAGGGACCATGGAGGTCATCTAGTCCAACCCCCAAGCCTGGCTCTGTCTTCCCACATTGAAATGGAATTGTGAAAAAATATGAGACTTATAACACAACTGCAAAAATACCAAATACTACATATTAAAGTATATCAATGTGAGGGAGGCATACAATATGAACTAATGAAATATATCAAATTATTATACCACAGTGTCTCTCTAGAGCTTATTTACAATCCTCTGCTTTCACAGAAGCTCATGGAAATACCTTCTTAGTTTGATGAATTTACAATGCTTCACATATTTTAGAACGTGTCTGATTTTGAATTGTCTTCCAACATTCCCAAGTGGCTTTATACATATATATATATAAAAATTACCAGAAGAAGACCACTTGCCCATTAAATACAATACCTGGGACAGTGATCACACACATACTAGCTATTAGTTAGAGAAAAGCAAAAATCCCAGGTGGCGAAAGACAAGGGAATAATGTGAAGTCTGCAAGTCTCAATTACTAAAACGCTAAAAATTTTTAAAGCTGTTAATAACATACTTTCAGGTAAACAATTATCAGAATTTTTTTTGTGTCCTTAAGAGCACTTCAAATATTTGAAGCAGCTTCCTTCTTAAATCATTTACAATGACTTAAAACATAAAATTGGATATGTTCTAAAACAGTTATTGTGGATAAATGTGATCTCTTTTAAAAGCTGTTATTAGGCTCATAATAACTCAAGTGTTTTCTAGTAGGACATTACAGCAAAGTCAAATTTAAAAAGTTTAAGTAGTACAAGTTTATTTTTAAAGTTTTGAAGAAATGAAGCATATGGGGTAGAGATCAGTAGCTAGGCAGCAGGGACAAGCATTTCACAGCATTATGCTCTTGCACACACAGAGAACTTACATTCGTTTTAGTCAGATGATTGTTCCCTCAGAAATTTAAAAGCAAAACCCAAACTCTCCAAATTCAAAATAAGCTCTCACTGTTTTCCTCCTCTATCTATAAGTAAGATGAAATGTGAATTTACAAAATCTTCTAGTTCTAAACCTGTTAAGGGTACCGTTACCAGAAAAAAAAAAAAAATCAGTGTTCAGTCATGAACTAGACAAGTTTTATATTCAGTGGATCTCTTTGGTTTAAAAGGAAAACCATTTTCAGATTTCTAGGCATTTCCCTTTTTAACTGCATTCTAGCCATTATTCCGAACACCTTGATATTCTACTTTTATTAAGCTGCTTCAATGTGTAGCATGTCTAATTTACTGGTTAAATGTATATTTGGGTTTGCATGAGCTCTAAATAGGTGAAAGTAAGTTATCCTTTTCCTACTGTTAGATAGCACTTATTTCACAAGAGAGGCCATATTTAGTTGCAAGCTAACATCTTTTATCATAAAATATTCAGCATAAATACAAAATAGGATTAACTCTAGTACTTAAATCACAAATAAAATCACTGTTTTTAATCAATCCACTGTTTCTAATCATATACCTAAGTGACTTATGCAATATACACTGTGCAGAGATTAAAGAGGAAAAGCACGTTAAAGCTAACCTAAGCCCTGACCTTAACTCTCTTAGCCTTACCCCAAGAAAGGAGAAGCTTTAGAGGAACCAAGTTTAAGCTAACATGATATTGAAGCTAACTGAGACTTCATATGCAAAAGCACCTTCAGAAGAGGAGCATTTATTATTTCCCAATAAAGTGGT